TTTCTCTTCGTGGGTATTGCTTTTTCTTTTCCCAGGGTTAATCTGTTTCAAAATTGTGCTCGTGTTGGCGGGTATGCTCGTGCCCCTATTGTCTGCCTGTAGGAATGGGTATCTGGTGGGGAGGGATAACTGAGATAACAAGTTAACTCGTATGTCCTCGTCAGTTTGACTTGTGTTGTTTATTTGACTCTGTATTGTCCCTTTCGATGGACCGTTGTGAATTTCTAGGGTCTCGGCCTTCTGCATATGTTGCCCAAAGCGCTCTCGCTGTGGCGTTTCCCTTACCCATTTTTGTTTGGTTCCACATTATTCCTTCATATTCTAACGTTGTCGTAACCATCGTTTCTACCTCCGCTATGGCTTGGACCCTTGGGGTTTTCCACTGTTTTGCTAATAATGTGGAGGCTGAAGTTAATGGTAGGAATATTAGCTTGGTGATACAGTGTGGCGTGCCTATGGGTAGGAGTTGGAGTAGAAATGTTTCTGCATTGTGGTCTAGTATGCACCCTGTGGCTCCCTGTATTAGCCCTGCTATTTGCTTCCAGTATGGTTGAACTAGATTGCATGTCCACCAGATGTGGAGCATAGTCCCTTCCTGTGTCAGGCATCTCCAGCATCTGTCACTTGTGTCGGGGTATATTTTCTTGAGCCATGAAGGCACCATATACCATCTGTATATTATTTACGTGAGGTCCCTATGTGGGAGGCGCACGTTGTGAGTCCCTTGTGGTTTGTGTGGATGCAGTGCCATTTGTCTTGTGTGAGTGTCCTTCCTATATCTCTGTGCCATTCGGCCTTGTGCCTCCACTCCGGCTCTGTTTCGCTCTTAGTGATTAACTTGTAGCACACAGATAGTGGTTTTTTTTGGTGTATACACATCCTTTCAAAAGGAGTGAGAGTGGTGGGGGTCTTGTCTTGTAGTTTTGCCTACTAGTGCTTTCATCTGCCAATATGAGAACGTGAGCTGTGGTGGTATGTTGTGTGTGGCTTGAATAGTTGGTAACGGGTGTAGTCCTTGAGAGGAGCATATCTGATGCAGGTGTGTGATGTTGGAGGCCTTCCATGCCCTGTATGGGAATGTGTTGTTGCAGAGAGCTATTGAGTGTAGTGGCGTCGCCATAGACCATGGCTCGTCGGAGCAGAGTTTGTATCTGTGACTGTCCCATATGTGGTACAGAAGTTTAGTGGTAGGTAGGGCGTTTGATGGTGTGCAGTGCAGTTGTTTGGGCATCCATAGAGCCACCGGGAGGTCCGCGACCCCGCTGCAACTAGCCTCTATCGCTATCCATTGGGGGGTGTATGTAGTGGAGTGCATGGCGAGGATATTCGCCGTTTGCGCTGCGTGGTAGCACGTCTTAAGGTTCGGGAAGCCCAGGCCTCCTTTATCTATTGGCTTCATGAGCAATGTTCTTGGGACCCTGGGTTGTCTCCCTCACCAGCTAAATTTTATCAGGATAGATTGGAGTCTGTGTAGGAACGACTGTGGTAAGGGTATTTGTAAAGAGCGGAACAAATGGAGGATTTTAGGCAAGATTGTCATTTTGGCGGCCGCTATTCGACCTAGCCATGAAAGGAACTTGTTCTGCCACGAATGCAGTGTGTGCTCCGCCTCTTTGGTTAGTTTAATGTAGTTGGCTGCGAAGAGGTCGGTGTGTCTTTTGGTAAGTTTGATGCCTAAAAATGTCAAGAAGTCATTCCTCCAGTCATATTGGAAATTGAGTAGGTACCGCTCTTCGCCTGTCTTTGGGATGTTTATGCGCATGGCTTGGGTTTTAGTTAGGTTTAGTTGGTAGTATGATTGCCTGCTGTAATCTTGAATTTCTTTATGGAGGTTTGGGAGGGAAATTGCTGGGTTAGATAGTGTGAGAAGGATATCGTTCACAAATAGGTTTAGTTTGTATTCCTTGCCACCTATGGGGATCCCCTTAATGTCCTGGTTGTTTTGGATCGCTATGGCCAGTGGTTCCAGAGCCAGCACATAGAGTAGTGGTGAAAGGGGGCAGCCCTGCCAGGTACCATTGGTAATTGCTAGTGGGGTGGAACTAAACCCTGAGTTTAGCACCGTCGCTGAGGGGGTGCTGTATAGGGCCTTTACCATGTTAAGGAAGTCAGGGGGGAAGCCATATCCGGTGAGCGCTCCCTGCAAGAATTGCCATTTAAGCTGGTCGAACGCTTTTTCAGCGTCTAGGGATAGGAGTGTACTTTGTATTTTGGAGCTATTGAGGTAGTGGAGGATGTCTAACACCTTCCTCGAGTTGTCTGGACCCTGTCTGCCGGACACAAATCCCACCTGGTCCATTGAGATCAGGTCTTGTAGAATTGTTTTGAGTCTCTCCGTTTATATTTTGGTGTATAGTTTGGCATCTGCGTTCAGCAGGGAAATGGGTCTGAAATTTGGGCATGTCGTGGGCGGTTTACCCGGTTTGGGTAGGGTGATGATGTGGGCTGTGAGGAATTCGGTTGGTAGGCTACCCTGTTGCGTAGCCAAGTTAAAGGCTCGTGTTATATATGGGCTCAGAATGTGTCGTAGTAGAGGTTTGTGAGGCCGTCTGGGCCTGGTGCCTTTCCCTTCAGCATCAGTTCTATTAACTGTAGTACTTCTTGGGTTGTGATGGGGTTCGTTAGATGCGCTATGTGTTGTTCTTGAAGCTTGGGTAGGTCAAATCTACGTACGTATTCTGTGATTGTTTCTATACTATATAGGTCGCAAATTTGTTGCAAATTTGTGTGGGTTGGGTCAGTTTTTGTCCTTTTGGTGAGAGCAGGTAGGGGATTCTTGTTTGGGCCTGTTTGTCTCTGAGTCTCTGGGCCAGAACTTTGCTCACCTGATTTCCGAGGACAAATGTATTAGCTTTCAGTTTTTTCAATGCATAGCTCGCTTTTCGGAAGTTTGCGACATTAATTTGATTTTGCATGTCTTTTATCTGTTTTTGCGTGGTCATGAAGGGGGTGAGTATGATGTCTCTGTGGAGGTCTTGCAGTTTTTTTAGATTTTGGGTATGTGTGTGGTTCTGCCATTTTTTGAGGTAAGAGGCTCTTTTGATGAGGATGCCTCTGATGACCGGTTTGTGGGCCATCCAAAGTGTGAGGGCGTTTATGTCCTTTGTGTCATTAGATTGAAAGTATGTGTGTAGGTCCTGTTTCAGTGTTTGAACAAATTGGGGGTTGTTGAGGAGTTGTTTGTTTAACCTCCAGGGGCCTCTGTTCTTATAATTATAGTGGTCTGCTATATGGAGCGTTACCGGGTTGTGGTCCGAACAGGGGGATGTTCCTATCTCACAATCTATTATTCTATTCAGGTGTCCGCACTGTAGCAGAAACCCGTCTATCCTTGAGTACGTGTTATGTACCTGGGAGTAGTTTGTGTACTCTTTCTCATGTGGGTGCAGAGTGCGCCATGCGTCATATAGTCCGTATGTGTTTAAAAGCTTGGTCAAGGATTTGCAATTTCTGCGAAGTACCTTTTCTCTGCCGGCTGTGTGTGTTGCTGAGGATTCCAAGGTAGGGTCTTGGAACTGGTTGTAGTCTCCGCATATGATTGTGGTGCCTGTTTGGAGTTGTGTTATGAGTTTCAACAAATTACTGAGATATGCTCCTTGGTTTACGTTTGGTAGGTATGTGTTGACTATGGTATAGGTGGAGCTATTGATAGTGCAGATCAATATAATGTACCTGCCTAACGGATCTTTTTTCACCAGAATTTCGTCAAAGGCTAAGTGTCGGCTGAGTAGGATAGAGACTCCCTTTCGTTTTGTGGGTGTGGTGGCATGGTATTGATGGGGGTACAGTGCCTTCCCCAGGGTGGGAGTTGTATCTGGTGAAAAGTGTGTCTCTTGTAAGCATATCACATCAGCTTGGGTACTCTTGAGCTCTTTAAGGAGAGTGTGGCTTTTTTGTGGGGTATTCAACCCTCTGAAATTGTGGGTGTATATTTTCATATTGTTAACGGTTGATGTGCGTAGCTTGGCTTGGGGCTACGTGGGTGTTCATGTAGGTTTGATTATCTGTGTGTTTGATGGCTGGTGCCGTGTGCAAGGGAGTGCAGGCTAGTCTGCAGGTGGGTCGAGTATGGCTCTGAGGATTTTGGCCTTGACCCTGTTTGGGGTGCCATGTAATATTGGGGTGATGCTGTTTGGACATTTTCCTATAGTTTTGGTACTTTGCAATAGTGTAAGCGGTTAGAGGACATACATCAATTAAACAGAACGTAAACAATTTAAACCATAAACAATAAGTGAACACCACTACTGAGGTGTCCAGTGTTTCCTGTTGAAGGTCGTAATTTAAACCTTCTTGGATTGAGGGTAGGTGGACGGGTCTAACCATGTTTGGCTCCGAGTCGGGAACCAACCATGTGACTGGGCTCATTATTGATAAGCACTTGGCAGCGCTTTGACTCTCAGAGCTGTGAGTTCCGCTGAAACATGGGTGGGAGGGCTACCTCCGAGGTTTTTTGGCTCGTCTTGACGATTGGCGTGCAGCGTATTGCCCTTGCATTAGGTCCAATGGATCTACCGGTCTGGGGATTCTAACCTGATTTCCTTTGCTTCTGGTGATTTGTTGGGACCTCGGTATACGTACATATACATATACACACACATATGCATTCATACGCACTTTTTTTTGTTTTTGTTTTTTTATATATACACATATTTTTTTTTTTTTGGTTTAGCGCATACTTGTTAACATATGTCTGGTTCTGTTGATTCTTTGGTCTAGTCATTGACTGTGGGGGGAGGGGGGAGAAAGGGGAAGCTGTGTCTATCTGCGGTTTACTTCCAAGGGTGCTACCCCTAAAGTCGGGTCGCGTAGAGCAGGGGTTTTGTGAATTATCAGTTACCCTAGGGTATGTTGTCTGCCCCTTCATATTCCCTCTCCATCGTCCCCTGTCCCTGCCCGCCCACACTGTTCAAACCTTTGACGTCAGGTGATAATTAGAGAATGTCTCTTGCACTTCACTGCGCAGTATGCGGGGTGGTCCGCCTTGCTTTGATTGCTCTCTATTCCCCCTGTAATTTGCTGCCTCGAGGTTGACCCGCGTTCTGGATGTTGTTTACTGCATTGCCCCAAGACTGGAGGAGGTCGGTGCCCTCTGCGGTGGACGTAATCACATGCGTCTTGCCGTCTTTGTTAATGAGCAGCTTTACCGGGTATCCCCATCGGTACTGGAGGTTACGCTGGTGGAGTGTCTTTGTGATGTTTCGGTACGTCCGACGTCTTCTTAGTGTTTCTGCGTATAGATCTGTGTAGATACTGATGTCTTTAAACTTCTCTGGAACATTTCTGCTGGTTCGGTGGGTTTTCAAGATCTGCTCTTTAATGTGAAAGTAATGTATTCTCATGAGGACGTCTCGTGGTGTGGAGGGAGGTAAGTGTGCAGGCTTTGCTACTCTGTGTATCCTATCTAGGATCAGCATATCTGCCGGGATGTCGGGCAGCATGGAGTGAAAAAACTCTATAGCGTAGGCCGTTAGCTCCTGCTGGTGAACGTCTTCCCATATGCCCCTCAGCCGTAGATTATTGCGGCGGGAACAGTCTTCCATATCCATAATTTTGTTTTCATATCGCTTCAACCTATTTTCTATGTCCTCCATCTTGTCTGCCATGGAATCATGGGCTGTGACAAACTCCTCCATTCTGCCCTCTAAGTGTGAGGTTCTGCCTACCTAAGTCCACAATGTAAGTGTATTCTATTTTTAAAATTCTTTCTTAAATCTACTGTCCTTCATTTACAGTGGTTGAATGGAAATAAATAGGTTGTATTACTCAGAAATTATAACTTCTGTTGACTTCAGAGCATCAACCTTTTTCACTGAAAGAATGAATCCTTGATTTTAATTGCACCTTGTTTAGAACAACTTGAAATTACTTTTAGTTTTCTGTCAAAGAGCTCACTCAATTATCATACTAATTTCTACTTTTAACATCGTCAGCCAGAAAAACAGTATCATCTTTTTTACAAAGTTGGTAGCCATTGTCATATATCTCACTTGATTGTCTAATAAAGCCAACATTAGCAAGAGAGGATCTTTGTTATGCGTATTTGGTAGGTATAAGATAATTGGTGAGATTGATAGGCCGATAGAGCTCAATCTGCTGTAGACAGGCTGGCAGGCAAGTCCTGTTGAGAGAAGTGAGACTGGTCTGTCGTAGCCTTCTAATTTAAGAGATCTAAAATAGAATGCCACCACCAACCAAAATTAGATTGCAAAGTATGACATATATAAAAATGCCAAAATAAAGTTTGTGTTTTTTTTTGTAAAGATAATAGTTAATGTTGCATATATTCATGGGGAATGAGTATCTCAATGCTTGATTAAAAGTATAATATAGGAAATTTAGTTTTCATATACCCATGATTGGTTAATCGGCATGAGATTAACATTTATATTGAATATATCTTTTATATATATATATATACCTGTATATGTTTTATGATTTTATAATTTGTTGATCTTTGTTGAGTTCAAAATGTTGCTCTATAACTGATGATCCATTAGAACTGCATTGCACCTAAATTCAGTGAGAGCCTGAAGCCTGTTTTTGGATGTACTAATGACTTACTGATGGCATTATCCAAAGGCCAATATTCCCTACTTTTTCTTTTGATCATTCTGCCATTTTTAACACTGTTGACCAGCCGGTTCTCCTCTTCACCCTCTTCACCCTTCATTCCACCAATGATGTATTTCAGGATATGCTGAAACCTGAGCACATAGACAGAATTACTAAAAGAGAATCCGTATACCAGTCCTTAGAATGGCCGAGTTAATGAACAAGTGGAGTCAGTATAACAAGCTTAGGTCAAAAGGAGTAGAGAAGACAGGAATATCGTATAAACAAGCTGAGGTCAAAGAAGTACAGAGTGCAAGTGTGCAGCATCAAACGGAATGCTGGAGGGGATCGCAGGTAAGCAGGCAGAATTCCTGACAACGTGTTACTGTCTTTTACATGCACCACTAGCTTACATCTGCAGGGCAACTCCTGAGCTGTCTCTTCCTTATGGAATTCACTCCCATGCTACATTTGATTTAACCCTTCTCTGCAGTCCTTCAAAAAAAATCCTTCAAAACAGACTTTAGAAAAGACTATCAGCTTGTCCATCAAGTTCTCATCCCTGATTAATGTCATCTGCTGTTAGTCATGAACTGTGCTCCCTCCTTCAAGACCCTCCTCCCATCCTTTCAGGCATATCCATATAATCTGATTTCTTGTTTCCCTCTGTGTATTTGTCCCTCATACCTTTAAATTGTAAGCTCATTTGAGTAGGTCGCTCTTTACCTACTGTTCCTGTATGGCGATTTTTAGATGAAAATTGATCATATCTTCATTAAATGTAATAAACTGGAAAGAACCAGGTTCCCTCAAGCAAGGTTGAATCATATCAGTTTCAGCTCCTTCCAGCACATATACCATAACAACCACAGTATGTGTGTAGACCATGGACCCCAAATTAATCACATATGCAAGAGTACAGTGAGAGTACAGCATTGAGGTCTATGGAGGTTCCCATGAGAACGTGAGATCCTCCATAGACAGAGCCAAATCCCTTCAGCCATCACTGATTCTGCCTAGTGTCTAAGAAAGTCAGGAGGAGAAATATACAGAGACAAAGTAGTCCATACTCTGTGATGATTAATGGTTAGGGGACTGTCACTAAATGTTGATTTTATTCACAGTTCGAGTGAAAAGCAAGTGACAAAGGGGGAAAAAAGCAGCAAAAAATAAATACAATTCAGAAAACAAATGTGTGAGCTACAGGCACTTGTATTACAGTGATTTGTGATATAGCAGCTAGAACACTGTGTGGGTGCTCCAAAATCACCCACTAGTTAGAAAATGTAAAAGATACACACAGATCTCAGTCATGTTTTCCCTCTATTGGTTACTTTTTATCACTTGATCTGTGAACCAAAAGGTGGGTAAATACTACTATCAGTGTAATATTATGTAGTATACTATATTATATTATTGATATATTTTTCCAGATGTCCAGGAGAAATGGGATTATTTAAAAGTTGCACTGCTGAAGGCAACAGAAAATTACATTAGGCTTGTCAGTAAAAGCAAAAAATTTAAGAAACCATTGTGGTACTCCGCAGATGTGACCAAAATAGTAAAAAACAAAAAGTTAGCATTTAGGAATTATAAAAAAAAAACAGAGTGAGGAAGACAGACAGATCTATAAGATTAGGCAGAAAGATGCTAAGCAAGTTCTAAGAGCCTCCAAAGCACACACAGAAGGAAAAAAGCACAGTCAGTAAAAAAGGGGGTTGAAATGTTTTTTAGATACATAAATGAGAAAAGGAAAGTAAAACAAGGATTCGTTATATTAAAAATAAAAGAAGGAATGTATGTAGAAGAGGATAAAGGTCTAGCTGATTGCCTCAATTAATATTTTTGTTCAGTATTTACAGATGAAAATGAAGGAAAGGTTCCTCAGTTAGGAAAAAGGACAAATAAGTCATTTGTTACATGTGAGTTTACAGAGGAAGAGGTTCTATTTCAACTGGCAAAAGTAAAGACAAATAAGTCAATGGGACCTGATGGAATACACCCAAAGTTATTAAAAGAGCTTAGTGGTGTACTAGCAAAACCACTAACGGATTTATTTAACCAATCGTTGTTAACAGGAGTAGTCCCAGAAGATTGGAAATTAGCAAATGTTGTACCCATTCACAAGCAAGGTAGTAGGGAGCAGTCGGGCAACTATAGGCCAGTAAGCCTTACTTCAGTAGTGGGGAAAATTATGGAAACCATGTTAAAGGATAGGATTGTTAAACATCTAAAATCACATGGATTTCAAGATCAGAGACAACATGGGTTTACTTCAGGGAGATCATGCCAAACTAATCTTATTGATTTTTTTGATTGGGTAACTAAAATAATAGATCAGGGTGGTGCAGTGGACATTGCTTACCTAGGTTTCAGTAAGGCTTTTGACACTGTTCCGCATAGAGGGCTCATCAATAAACTGCAATCTTTAAGTTTGGATTCCAATATTGTTGAATGGGTTAGGCAGTGGCTAAATGACAGGCAACAGAGGGTTCTAGTCATCGGAGTATATTCGAAGCAAGGTCTAGTTACTAGTGGGGTACCTCAGGGATCTGTACTTGGACCCATTCTCTTTAATATTTTTATTAGTGAAATTGCAGAAGGTCTTGATGGTAAGGTGTGTCTTTTTACTGATGATACTAAGATTTGCAACAGGGTTGATGTTCCAGGAGGGATAAGTCAAATGGCAAATGATTTAGAAAAATTAGAAAAATGGTCAGAGCTATGGCAACTGACATTTAATGTGGGTAAGAGCAAGATAATGCACCTTGGATGTAAAAACCCAAGCGCAGAGTATAGTATATTTGATACCCTACTAACTTCAACATCTGAGGAAAGGGATTTAGGAGTAATAATTTCAGATGACTTAAAGGTAGGAAGACAATGTAATAGAGCAGCTGTAAATGCTAGCAGAATGCTTGGTTGTATAGGGAGAGGTATTAGCAGTAGAAAGAGAGAAGTACTCATGCCATTGTACAGAACACTGGTGAGACCTCACTTGAAGTATTGTACGTAGTACTGGAGACTGTATCTTCAGAAGGATATTGATACTTTAGAGAGAGTTCAGAGAAGGGCTACAAAACTGGTTCATGGATTGCAGGATAAAACTTACCAGGAAAGGTTAAAGGAACTTAACATGTATAGCTTGGAGGAAAGACAAGACGGGGGGATATGACAGAAACATTTAAATACATAAAGGGAATCAATACAGTAAAGGAGGAGACTATATTTAAAAATAGAAAAACTACCACAACAAGAGGACATAGTCTTAAATTAGAGGGGCAAAGGTTTAAAAATAATATCAGGAAGTATTACTTTACTGAGAGGGTAGTGGATGCATGGAATAGCCTTCCAGCTGAAGTAGTAGAGGTTAACGCAATGAGGGAGTTTAAGCATGCATGGGATAGGCATAAGGCTATCCTAGACTTAAGATAAGGCCAGGGACTAATTAAAATTATTTTGAAATATTGGGCAGACTAGATGGGCCGAATGGTTCTTATCTGGGCCGAATGGTTCTTATCTTATCTGGTTCCTTTCTATGTTTCTATGTTTCAATGTTTCTATGTTTCAGACCATTTTCATGCCCTTTTGGTTCGTTTGATCTGTTTCCCAAATCAATTTTTTATTAACACAATTCTACCAAGTCAAACTGACATTTGACTGAAATGTATGTGCCTACTGTTATTTAGTATATTATTATATTGTAGAAGCCATATAAAGGATTAATTGTGAAAGGGTTTATAAAATACCCCTTCCTGTCTTGACGTGGCAGGTGAGCTTATATTCAAATGGCCATTGGAATAAAACTAAAGAGCCTCCATTTTGTTTAAATGTGCATAGGTATGTAGGCCAGAGCACAGTTAACGTTCTGTTTGTTCAAATTGACATATGACTGAAATTCATCCGTCCCCCAAAAAATTTAATTTTGAATAAAACAGTTTTTCCAAAACATATATTATTGCCATGCACAAACCTATTTTTATTTAGTGGGGGGTTTCTGTGTGCATTAACTTAATCAAATGTGTATGCAAATTTAGATTAAAGGCATACAAACATTTATACAAATGCACTATAACCCAAA